ACTGACCAATCCTTCAAAAAGAAGCAATGAATTGAGACGCCTAGCTTCGCTCTAATGTTTCTCAGTCCACACGTTTCCTCCAAACATGACCTGAATCTCTGAGGGGAAGTTCATGAAAGAGAGCTGGGAGTGATGGGAACTTGCTACATGACAGCATTTGACAGGCAATTGCAGGAACAACCGGGGAATCGGTTACACAATATTTTTTCGGGGGGGGGGCAAGCTGGAAATTATAATAATAAAGAAGATCGGTGATGAAATATAATTGTCGTCAAACCTCCAGTCAGTGTTTGCCTTGGGAGTCTGTCTGCCTTTCAACCGTCTGACAGTTCATTCGCAGGCGAAGTCACAGGAGAGCTGAGCCGAGCGGCAGAGCCGAGCTGTCAATCACAGACGTATATACTCACAGATATATATAAGACAGAGCCCACATCTATCCCAGGGACATGTTATAATGATCTCTCCATGTGAGAGGGTAAGTCATGCAGTAGGTGTGTGTGTGTGTGTGTGTGTGTGTGTGTGTGTGTGTGTGTTTGTGAAGGATGCAAAAGTGAACAAGAAGTTTTTCTTTTTTTAAATACCTCAATTAAGAAGCTTTTTGAGGATCTTTAATTCCATTTTTCCACTTCAATCAGTAGAGACAAGTAAATGATTGAAAGATGAAAGGTTTGTTTTCTGTATGTGATATTGAATGATTGTCAGAGAATCTTTAGCGCTTGAACTCTACAGGGAGACAGGGTGATTGAAGATGTCTGCCCTGAGCGGCAACAAGATCTACCCCCCCCCCAGAGTCCAGACACTGGTGGTGGAGGTGTTAGCGGATGATGTTGTCTGGGTTGATGCGAAGAAGAAGTTGATTGATCTGTGAAGACTGGAGTTGATGAGAAGATGGCTGATGATGTCATCTGAGGCAAACTGCGCAGGCTGGGGTTGACCGGACGATGGCTGACGCTGTGATCTAAGGCTGCGATGACAGCAGCTATGTGATAGATTAGTTTCACACTGAGGCGCTGTGTGATGGATGGACTGTAATCAACTCATATGTAGCATCACCTTCATGTGTTAAAACTTTGTCTGGCTGTGTAACAAAAGTTGGCTCTTTGGCTCTTTAATTATGCAAATCAGAGCGCAGAGCAACATTTTGCTGCAGCGGCAAAAGGAAGAAAAAGAAATGCACATCAAGAGCATGTTTTTGTTTTTGTTTTCACCCTTTTTATCCTAAAGATGTTGTACTCATCACTTTTACCAGCACTTGCTTGCAGGGCTTTTATGTGCTTAGCCTTTAATCTGGCAACTATGGGATTGTTATAAATTCCCATTCTCCCAGTTCTGCTACTGTCTGCTTTTGGGGGCTCTCTGTTCATCATAACAACATTTTCAGCAGCAGTTAAAGGTAACACCCTGATAGCTGGAAGAGAAATGTTTTTCCATGATGGAGCTTAGCAAGAAAGAAAAAAACTGCAGAATGCAAAAAAGTGTCAAAGTCTCTCCTCAACTTTTCTTTCACATTAGTTTGTATAATATCTGAAATTGTGCAAAGCACTAAACTTCATAAAGAATTAAAAGTGAAACTCTTATTTTCAGTTCATAGTATTAGTGTGTGTGTGTGTGTGTGTGTGTGTGTGTGTGTGTGACACTGAAACTGCTGACAGAAACATAAACAACACTCACTGTGTCTGACCGAAAAGGTTGACGATGTTGCCCTTTGCGTGTCTGTACGTGAGACTTTGTGAGGGAGAAGGAGGGGGGGAGGTAAGTGTGAGTTTGGCAGTTTGGCCTCTGTGTGTGTGTGTGTGTGTGTGTGTGTGTGTGTGTGTGTGTGTGTGTGTGTGTGTGTGTGTGTGTGTGTGTGTGTGTGTGTGTGCGTGCGTGCGTGTGTGTGTGGTCTTCAGGAAGTGTAATAACTTGGATTTAAACTTTCTTTCATAAGCTGGCTTCTCGAGCAGTTACTCATAGTGCTTCATACAGAATGAGATTCTATATTCGTTTCTTCTTAGTACTAGAAAACAAAACTTAGCTTGTTAAGCCCTAGGATCAGGTGTAACCTGGGGACTCATGGTCATTTAGGAATTACCTCCCAACGTCAGTGTTTGGTGTGGTGAATTCACATGGAATAAGTGAAGCCTCTTGTTTACTTCTATGTTCTGACATTTCTGATTGAAAACGATGAGGCGCTGCATGATAACCACCTCGTCTCTGGAGGCAGCATCACACTTTACAGCACAGTCAACCAAAACAACAAGCACTATAAACACGTGAAACAAAGATTATTCACTCCTCAAAATCTGGTTCTTCTGATGGATTTTAGTTTGCTTCTGTCTCCATGCTGTGTAGCGAGATGAGCCAGATACATTTACTCCCAAAATGCCGTCCAATCCTTCGTTTACAATGTCCAGCACAGCATCCATTATTCTCAAGTGGAAAAAATAGCAGATAAATCTGAGGAAACCTTCTTTAAAAAATACTGCCCCAAATGACTGAGATGCCGAGCTCTGATGCCATTCATCTTTTTATAGTCTATGGGAAAAGCCATCAATAATCCCGACTCCATGCATGAGGCGCTGCCAAAAATCTTTGTATGAAGACAAACAAGCGAACAAGCCGGGTTAGTTCCATTTCAATTTTGAAACCTGCTAATTAGTGCAAACATATTAATAGATAAATATGCGCAAACAAGGCTTATTAACGTCATGTGTCTGATGTTTGCATGAAAAATACCACCACAACCAAAACAAAATTGTTTCGTTGTGAATTAAATTAGCCGAGAGGACAGCTAGCTGTCAAGGTCCAGGATTAGTCAAAGGTAAGGGACCCGATTGCAGATTTTAAAATAATAATTTATTTTGGCCCAGAGTTCTGGGAGAGGGATTTGTCAGACAGACGGCCTGGAGGAAGGCCAAAGGGGGAGCAGGAACCTTCAGGCAGCCAGCCTGGAGGCACATGGGCTGAAACAGTTCAGGAAGTCAGAAGCAGAAGTAGAAGACTGTTAGAAGTCTACCAGAAGAGTAGAGCAGGTCTGGAGGTTAGCCAGGAGGAACAGGAACAGGATTAGAGAACCAGGGGCTGCTGACAGAGAAACAAAGGTTAGTGTTTGATGGGCCACCTATTTAGAAGAAGGGGCAGATAACGGACCGCCACCATTGGAGGACCAGGTATCGGCCAGTCCAATGGAGAACTAGAAGGGGCTTTCACTTGATGAAGGAACTGGACCCGATGAGGCGTTTGATTGGACTCCTGACACTGGACCTGGATGCAAGCAGGGCCTTGCAGGAATAGGTGGCTGTTGGCATTCTTCCAGGACAGATACTCTGATGGGACTAGGGGGCAGGTTACCATGGGGTTACCTCCTCTGTCAGACTCTTGAAGGGAAGCTGCAGCTTTGTTTCACTCCTGTTTAATGTGATGCAGCTGAGACTTCAATTTATAGGCCAAGCTGCCTGCTGAGATAGTTTGCTTACTGAACTTTCAAAGCACTCAACAGTGGTTGAAGGGACGTCCTCGACCAACAGTGGCTAGAGGATAGAGGAGTTCTGGTATGATGACATGTTGGTTAATCCATGCTTTAAATGTACCTGTCAACCCTGACTTCTTCGCTGCTGTCAGTCATGCCTAAAAATGTACTGCTGGTTGCCTGGAGTGTCGCAGTGTCTCTCAAGATGCAGTCAAAACGAGCCAACTTGTCTGAAGCTCTACTTTTCTATTTCTTTGAGGGTGGGCGCCTTGTTGTTTAATTGCATGTTGGGTTCTGGTGGGGTAATCAATGCAATGTACTGTATGGCCACAGGTCTTGCTCCAGCGCAGGTTATAGAAACCTTGACACAGGAGTTATTCTTCTTGCCCTGGGATCATTGCATTAATAATATGAACTACAGTAAAGAGAGAGACATAGAGAGAGAGAGAGAGAGAGAGAGAGAGAGAGAGAGAGAGAGAGAGAGAGACTTTAGATGTGTGCATGTACAGTAGGTGTCAGGTCAAAGCACAGTTTGCACTCATTAAGGTTCACCACAGACAAAACCTGCTCACATGTTGTCACAAACACACAGAGTGTCTTTAATGCAAACAGTCATCTTCGGGTATTTCGGTGCTAAGCATTATAAAATGATCAAATGTTTCCAAACGAACAGACATGAATGTATCCTTCAGCGTTGCGCACTGCAGTCTGATCAGCTCCGTGTGGAGTGTACATTCTTCAACTAAGTAAACTCATTGAAACAACATTTAATATGATCCTGCTCCGTGCGTCATTTAAGGAAGCATTTTAGCGCTGCTCCACAGTTAAACCAGCGGACCTCTGCATGATCGGACAGCCTGTGCGTGATATCGTTTTCGGATAATAATCAATTAAATGTTCAGTAATAGTTACATATTTACAGTCTGATGAGAGCTGGCGATAAAGGCGCAACAGCAGGCTACTGCATTTAGAAGGGATGTCACGCTGAAACTTTTAAGTGATCAGCACAACACTTTTACATCTGGGTGACCTAAAAATGCATCTGTTAATTAAATCAGTTAATATTAATTCAGTTAATAAGGTAATATAAGTGAGGATATGCCAGAGGCTCAACGCCTGTCTCCGCAACCCAACGCCCAGTCTGGATGTGTGGAGGCTGGATGTGTGGCCGTTACGCATGATGGAGAGGCTGCTCTTTGTTGCTCACTCCAGGAAGGAAGCGTTGTTATTACCAGCTAAACGTTTGTTTTACATCAGTCAAGCCAGGAGAAGAAGTGTAGACAGAACTGAAGACCGTCAGCGCGCACAGTCCAGCTGTGTGCCGATGGTTAAGTCACGTAGCTCTGACACAATTCTGCCAACTTGTGAGCAAATAAAACTAAAGAATTACCTCTCCTTCTATCGCTCTTGTTGACCAGTCTGTGTCACCTCTCTCTGTTCAGCCTGGTTGCTGATTAACGTAATGCAGGAGCAGCACCGTGCGCCATGGTTTGCCTGTTGTATTCAGACTTTGACCGAATAACAGAGCTCCACCCATGACTCACAGAGGACAACCCAGGAAACAGACAGCATTCCTCTCTTTGCACACATACACTGACACAATCGCATGATTCTTTTCACCGAGAGAAGCAAAACAGCTGCGACTAAGAAGGGCCAGTCTTTATATTCCTGGGAATCCTGGAAATACTACAGATTCAACAAGTTACTGACTGAATACTGTGTGGATCTTTAAAAAACACAGGATTGACGGGTTGGTACTGTCTGCTTGTTGTTAGTTTTGTTTCACTCAGAGGAAAATGGCTTCTTGTTCAGAGGAGGATCTGTGCTGTCCTGTCTGCTACGAAATCTTCAAACGTCCTGTGATCCTGTCATGTAGCCACAGCTTCTGTGAAGCCTGTCTGCAGAGGTGGTGGAGAGAGAAGCAGGCCCAGGAGTGTCCAGTCTGTAAGAAAAGATCTTTAAGGTCAGATCCACCTTGTAACTTGGCATTAAAGAACCTGTGTGAGGCCTTCTTACTGCAGAAAGATCAGAGAGCTTCATCGGACTCTGAGGATCTCTGCAGTCTGCACTCTGAGAAACTCAGACTGTTCTGTCTGGATCATCAGCAGCCAGCGTGTGTCGTCTGCAGAGACTCTAAAAAACACACCAACCACACGTTCAGACCCATCGATGAAGCTGCAAAAGATCTCAGGGACAAACTGCAGGAATCACTGAATCGCTCGAAGAAGAAACTGGAGCACTTTAATGATTTCAAACAAAAGGGTGAAGACACAGGAAAACACATCAAGGCCCAGGCTGCAGACACAGAGAGGCAGATAAAGGAGCAGTTCAAAAAGCTTCACCAGTTTCTAGAAGAGGAAGAGGAGGCCAGAGTCTCTGCACTGAGGGAGGAAGAGCAGCAGAAGAGTCGGAGGATGAAGGAGGAGGTGGAGGCTCTGAGCAGAGAGATAGCAGCTCTTTCAGACACAGTCAGAGCCACAGAGGTTGAGCTGAGAGCTGCAGACGTCTCATTCCTGAAAAACTACAAGGCTGCAGTGGAAAGAGTCCATCAGCGCCGCCTGGTGGAGGATAAAAAACTGCCGTCAGGAGCTCTGATAGATGTGGCCAAACACCTAGGCAACCTGAGCTTCAACATCTGGAACAAGATGAAGGACATGGTCTCCTACAGTCCTGTGATCCTGGACCCAAACACTGCTGGTTCAGGACTCATCCTGTCTGAAGATCTGACCTGCGTGAGACGAGGAGAGGAGGAGCAGCCGCTTCCTGATAATCCAGAGAGGATTGGTGAGTGCTGCTCTGTCCTGAGCTTCGAGGGCTTTAACTCAGGGACTCACAGCTGGGACGTCCAGGTTGGACAGAACACAATCTGGGACGTGGCTGTGTGTGAGGAGTCTGCAGACAGGAAGGTAGACATAGACTCTGGATTATGGAGAATTCATTGTTATAATAACACATATGCAGCACTTAACCGTTCAGGTAACCCCGTTGTTCTGTCAGTGGTAGGGCGACCTCAGAGGATCAGAGTGAATCTGGACTGTAACAGAGGAAAGCTGTCATTCTTTGATCCTGACACTAACACACACATACACACCTTCACACACACTTTCACTGAAAAGCTGTTTCCATACATTTGGTGTGGAGAGTCACCTGCTCTGAAGATATTACCACTGAAGGTCTCTGTAACAGTGGAGCAGTAAACAGGGGCAGATCAAGGCAATAATCGACATAGGAGGTCACCTAGGGCGACACATTCTGGAGGGGGGCTGCTCCTGTACATACAGTTAAACTAATGAAACGGTTCATTTCAGCAACTGTCTCTTTAGATCTCCTTTAAAGGATGATTTAAAACATGACGTTCATTTCTCTTTATCATGATCTTTTGATTTGTTTTTTTTAATTAGCTTGCCAAGATCTGATCCCAGTGCGTTCCTGTTTGTTAAACAAACAGACAAACAGATGAAAGAAAGACACAGAGATAAAGTCCAGACTGTGGCAGCTGATAAGAGATTAACAATGCAGCACTACACTGCATGAACTGTTTCTGAAAATGAGTATCAGGGGCAGAGGTACACATTTCAAACTTTCAATACTTTGACGATTAATAAAGTGTCATAATCAAGGGTCAAGGGTCATAATCTCATCATCAAATGCTCACAGCTCTAAAGCTGGCCCTGAAATTAAAGTAGAGACAACGATGAAGTCAGTTCATTTTTGTATAAATATATAAATTATTAAAAATCATAGTATAGTTGTATATATGTTTGGAAAATCATTGGCTTGTAAATATCAAATATAGTGTCATAAATATAGTATAGCAAATTGTATATAGATAGATTGTATATATAGAGAGCTTATAAGGAACACAGGAATTTAATTTAATAAATATTAATTATTGAGCTGTGGAAAAGGGGTAGGATTAAATAAGTTGTATACTTCTTCCTACTCCTTTTCAGGCATATCAACTGAATATACGTAATTTTCTTTTTCTTTTTTTGTGAAATAATTTGAACATTGTTTTTTGTTTATTGTATTTTTGTGCTTTTCATTTTGTTCTCTATTGTTTGATATGTTTGATTTTATTTGATATGTCTGAAATAAATTTAATCAATCAATCAATTCAGTGTAATAAAAGTCTGTGATTATGTTGGTGTGTGTGTGTCGTCTTTATTTAACACTACATGGGAGGCCATGGTGTCGCTGAACAGAGGACATGAGTATGATTGGGAAAGTGTAGTTCTGTTTATTTGTTCCTGTTGTGTAAAAGATAACATTTCATCCAGCAGGGTTCATAGGAACACAGGATCCATGGAGAGTCACTTTTGGAGTCAAATGCCTCCTTTCTTTCCAGCATCCTGACTTTGTGCAGGTCCGGGAATGGCTTGACCCAGCTCAACATTACTGGCCCAACAGTTAAATTCAATGGGTTCCCCTACAAGTTTAATGTCACTAAATGTAAATCAATTTTGAAACAGGCAACAATAAATAAAACATGTTTCTTTGTTGTGTTAATAAGTTATGGTGAGTATTATTATTATTTTTTTAGAAAAGGTTATGATTGCGTAAATTATTGCATTGCTTTACCTAACTCTAACGGCCCCCCATGTGTCTGGGCCCCAGGAAGCCTCCCTTGATAACTCGTTCATAATTGGGAATTCAGCAGCTGCATTAACTATGATTTTTATGTTTTTATGTTTTGAGTTTTGCTCACTCTGAATGAAATAGAACTAGTCCATCCATTGATATTCCTGTGTTGTGCTGTGTTCTGTTGCATGATTGTCCTGAACCAGTACTTGCTACTATGGGTCTGCTCTGATCCACTGTGATGTATCTCCACAGCTTTTTGCATGTGAAACTTTAAGTTTTGACATGACTTGCTCAGTCTCTGCTTCCTGCTTCCTGACTTTGTATAGCCGCCACAAGCTGTGTGTGGTTTCTTCCTGCAGACAGGCCTGGAGCCTTGTCGGAGTTTTTCATATCTAATTTTTTTTATTTTTGAACTATCATTTGTATTTGTAGTCATGTTAAATAATATTGAAATCAGATAAATTCTTCCACTAAAGCCATGCTAAAAAATGCAACCCCCCCCCACCCCACCCCCCCACTGTGGTTGGTTTCATCTCAAAGTTTCTGTATGCGATGGGTTTACCACAGCGATTATTAGACACGTCGGTGACAGGAAGCAGAGTGTGGCCGAACTGAAGCAGATCGTAACAGTGATACTTCCAGCCTGTTTCCACCATTTGTGTTTGCTTTTTTATGGCTTTGCATGTCAACATTTTCACTGTGGGAGACTGAAGCTGTAACTCTCCTGGAGCACTTTGACTTCCTTTTTGACCTGGCAGCTAGCCTACCTGTCGTTACGCAGCATGTCCTGTGTGTTAAGCTAGGCTAGCTAAGCAACATGCTTGGATTGGAGGAATTTAGCAGTATTTAAAAGAGGATTTTTTTTAGACTTCCAGACTGAAAGAGAAATGGCAGCATTCTTCACATTATTTCTGAAAAAAGGACCCCTTTGTTCCCACTCTAACAAAGCCCCCCAGTCCAAGAATCTTGGCTTGCATGACACCCTTGTCCTCTGCAGTTACTTTATACTGTACTGTTAACATAATCACTGTTTTTCCCAGCCTCTTTCAAATCTTTGTTTTCATTGGCATACGTTAGCAGTATGCATGTATCTCTGGAATTGTAGCACCTGACCAGAAGACGAACAAATGCTTTAACACTGAAGCTCATAAACGCAATTATTGCTTTTCCAAGAAGCTGTACATCACTGATTTGCAGAAGAACTGACTCACTGTCAACTTTTTCTCCATTTCTAAATACAGCCTCCTAATTCCTGTCTCTGTTCCTCTTCCAGGTTTTCACTGTTATTACTCCTCTACCTCCTCTCCTCTCACCAGCAATCAGTTTTTCTGTAAATTCAACACAGACAGAAGATAACTTTCACTTTGAAAAAGTAAAACGACTTAAACAGAGAGAGGACAGCTTCAGGTCACAGGACCAGTAACTGTGCACGCTGAACGGAGCTTTAGAAAACACACGACTCCATTCGGTCAAAGTGAAAGTAGGTTACAAGAAACTTTGTGGAGGCAAAGAGAAACCTCAACAGTCTGAGCTGTCTGACTGTCGTGAGTTTTGAAAATTGCTTCTTGTTCAGAGGAGGATCTGTGCTGCAGCGCCGCCTGCTGGAGGATCCACAGCTGACTACAGGAGCTCTGATAGATGTGGCCAAACACCTGGGCAACCTGAGCTTCAACATCTGGAACAAGATGAAGGACATGGTCTCCTACAGTCCTGTGATCCTGGACCCAAACACTGCTGGTTCAGGACTCATCGTGTCTGAAGATCTGACCTGCGTGAGACGAGGAGAGGAGGAGCAGCCGCTTCCTGATAATCCAGAGAGGATTGGTGAGTGCTGCTCTGTCCTGAGCTTCGAGGGCTTTAACTCAGGGACTCACAGCTGGGACGTCCAGGTTGGACAGAACACAATCTGGGACGTGGCTGTGTGTGAGGAGTCTGCAGACAGGAAGGTAGACATAGACTCTGGATTATGGAGAATTCATTGTTATAATAATGCATATGCAGCACTTAACCGTTCAGGTAACCCCGTTGTTCTGTCAGTGAGAGGACGACCTCAGAGGATCAGAGTGAATCTGGACTGTAACAGAGGAAAGCTGTCGTTCTCTGATCCTGACACTAACACACACATACACACCTTCACACACACTTTCAGTCAAAAGCTGTGTTGGGCCATGCAGGCTTAAGACAGGCAAACAATGGACTTGGGCATGCATCTCTGTGAGAAGCCTCGTGAGTTGTTCACTGAGACCTAAAAGGACTCTCAATCCCAGAATCCCCTGCAATACTTCACACCTACGCGTGAAGTAAGGGGGGACCGGAACCTCTCTCTTCTCATTGGAGGGGACCTGAGGTAGACCCCACAGGAAGCAGGCCAGGGTATTACTCTCCTGATCTTTACTAACACACACACACACACACACACACACACACACACACACACACACACACACACACACACACACACACACATTCCCGTGGAGACTAACTCCACCACTGTGCCATTACACACATAGGCTGCACACTCACACACAGAGATCTGTACACTCACGGCCATCCAGACGCCTCAGAGACACAGATCGTGTAGGGCCGAACTCGGTCTCTTTTAGACATTAAGGCCACATTTAGGTCTTTGTTAGGTGTGCGCCATCGGAAGGGTGACCACGTGGAACGAAGCCATCTTCCCCCTTTCTCCCTCTCCTCTCTCTCTTTCCTCCACAGACACAGACACAGACACACACACACAGACACACACACACACACACACACACGCACGCACCCAGGTCTTTGTTAGGTGTGCGCCATCATAAGCGACCACGTGGGTACGAAGCCATCTCCCCCCCTCTCTTCCCCTCCTCTCTCTCTCTCTCACACACACACACACACACTTACACACACACACACACACACACACACACTCACACTCACACCCCTTCCACAAGCCTTGCTTGATAATGTTTGTTGCTTAGATTAGTTTATGATAGTTATTTGTTTAATTCCATTGTTCATTGATTTTGGATTGATGTTGCTTTGTTTAAATAAATTCTGTTATATTTTAAGAGAGCAGTTGTTTGTGGTTACTGGTGTATTTACATTGTGATATAAGCTGGGTGTGAAGGCTTTGTGTACGGATTTCACGCCTTCAATTTATTAAATATAGTTATTAATTATTAATGATATTAGTAATTAAGTAACTCATTTGAGACTGATTTGAGTGATATTTTGGTTATATTTCCCTGATTACAGGGTGGTGCCCCAAGAGTGATTGAACATAGTTTAATGATATTGTTATTTATATTATTAATAATTAAATATAATTATTAAAGAATATAACCAAAGTTGACTTGATACAAACCCCAACAGCTGTTTCCATACATTTGGTGTGGAGAGTCACCTGCTCTGAAGATATTACCACTGAAGGTCTCTGTAACAGTGAAGCAGTAAACAGGGGCAGATCAAGGCAATAATCGACATAGGAGGTCACCTAGGGCGACACATTCTGGAGGGGGGCTGCTCCTGTACATACAGTTAAACTAATTAAACGGTTAATTTCAGCAACTGTCTCTTGAAGCCCAGGGAAGACAGGATCCATGGATATCTGTAAAGTCTTCACAGTCATCTGTCCTGTAGGTTGTCGAGTATGTTGTTCTGAAAAAAGAGTTGATCAAGTGCAGAATGTCCCTGAGATGACTGACACTCGATCCTCAAATGTTCTACTTAAATAACTATGAAACATTGATGCATCTTTGTAACCTAAAGGCAAACCAGAAAAGGTAAAGAAAAGAAAAACAAGAAGCTCCCGTTTGAAGGATTTATTGGTAAGTGGTGTTTGTTGCCGACATGGGGGGGTTATGTGTTTGTTATGCTGTTGGTACCGATGATCTTAATGCTATTGTTGTGTTCCAGTTTGTATCTGACCTTGGCTGTGACACTTTGGTCTGTTTGTGTTGGAAACATTTTTACTCACTTCTGTCTAAAGTCGTCTGAAGTGTCTAAAGTCTCTGGATGCAGCTGTATCATGCTGTATTCAAATCAAATGACAAGACAGTAAACATCGTCTAACTTTTTCATATTGTTGCTCATATTTTTTTGCTTTTGTATTTGTATGTGAAATTAAAAAAATCAGGAAACTGGCAGGAAAGTATTGGTTCAACACCCAGGACTACCACTCAAACCACTACATCTTTATTCTCTCTACTCTAGTCCAACTTTAAAACCAACATACCAACAAAGCCCCACCCTGTATGTGACTCAACACAGGCAAACCACAAAACAGGTGGTCTTTTTCTCTGTAGACAGACACACACACACAGACAGAAGATAACATTCACTGAGAGGAATAAAAGACACGACTTCCTCGAAGAGAGGACAGCTTTAGGAGGAAATACTGGAATACTGTCACTTCAACAAGTCAAAGTAAGTTACGGGAAACTCTGTGGAGGAGGGACAGGAACCTCAGCAGTCTGACTTGTTTGAGCTGTCTCACTGTCCTGAGTTTTGCTTCACTCAGAGGAAAATGGCTTCTTGTTCAGAGGAGGATCTGTGCTGTTCTGTCTGCTCTGACATCTTCAAACATCCTGTGATCCTGTCATGTAGCCACAGCTTCTGTGAAGCCTGTCTGCAGAGGTGGTGGAGAAAGAAGCAGGCCCAGCAGTGTCCGTTCTGTAAGAGACTGTCAGAGTCAGAACCTTTGTATAACCTGGAATTAGAGAACTTGTGTGAGGCTTTACTACAGAAAGATCAGAGAGCTTCATCGGACTCTGAGGATCTCTGCAGTCTGCACTCTTATAGACTCAGACTGTTCTGTCTGGATCATCAGCAGCCAGCGTGTGTCATCTGCAGAAACTCGCAAAATCACATCAACCACACATTCAGACCCATCGATGAAACTGCAATAGAACGCAAGGAAGATCTTGAGGATTTCCTGAAGCCCTTGGAGGATAAACTGGAGCGCTGTAATAAAGTCAAAGAACACTGGGATGAAACAGGAAAACACATCAAGGCCCAGGCTGCAGACACAGAGAGGCAGATAAAGGAGCAGTTCAAAAAGCTTCACCAGTTTCTAGAAGAGGAAGAGGAGGCCAGAGTCTCTGCACTGAGGGAGGAAGAGCAGCAGAAGAGTCGGAGGATGAAGGAGGAGATGGAGGCTCTGAGCAGAGAGATAGCAGCTCTTTCAGACACAGTCAGAGCCACAGATGAGGAGCTGGTAGCTTCACATGTCTCATTCCTGAAAAACTACAAGGCTGCATGGGAAAGAGTTGAGCAGCACTCCCTGGAGAATCCAAAGCTGCCGTCAGGAGCTCTGATAGATGTGGCCAAACACCTAGGCAACCTGAGCTTCAACATCTGGAACAAGATGAAGGACATGGTCTCCTACAGTCCTGTGATCCTGGACCCAAACACTGCTGGTTCAAGACTCATCGTGTCTGAAGATCTGACCTGCGTGAGACGAGGAGAGGAGGAGCAGCCGCTTCCTGATAATCCAGAGAGGATCAAAGGTTGGGGCTCTGTCCTGAGCTCTGAGGGCTTCAACTCAGGGACTCACAGCTGGGACGTCCAGGTTGGACAGAACACAATCTGGGACGTGGCTGTGTGTGAGGAGTCTGCAGACAGGAGTCAACACATTTACTTTAGATTGTTGGGCATAGGGATGTTTGATGATGAATACACACTATGCACCCCATCAGGTAACCCCGTTGTTGTGTCAGTGGTAGGGCGACCTCAGAGGATCAGATTGAATCTGGACTGGGACAAAGGAAAGCTGTCATTCTCTGATCCTGACACTAACACACACATACACACCTTCACACACACTTTCACTGAAAAGCTGTTTCCATACATTTGGTGTGGAGAGTCACCTGCTCTGAAGATATTACCACTGAAGGTCTCTGTAACAGTGGAGCACTGAACGTGGAGATTATGATGAAGTCAGCTCATAAAGTGCTTATGTGTTGTTCTTATCTTTACATTAAACCAAAGATACAGCTTACACGACAAAGAAGAAGAACTTTTGCTCATTGGTAATAGCAGAAGTGAATTTTCTCTCTTTCTCCATTGCAGGTTCTCAAATATTTGTGACATCTGCCAAGTTGTTTTTATCAGTTGTTTTCTCAGGTCAATGAAGGTGAATTCAGTTTTTTATTTCTTGTGAAAAGTCACGTTTGAACTTGTATTGTTACAGTTTGTAATGAGAGCTTTTTAAAATAGCATGTTAGACGCTTGTGTGTGAGTCGTTTATAGAACTAATTGTTTTCACTGTGTGATGAAATCACAAACATATATGTTTTTTTATAGGCTGTTTCCAAAACCGTGTACTTTCTCACTATTCATACTAAATGTGACATATCATTGAGTTTGTGGTATGATACAAAATCAAAGTATGCATTTTTGTGTATGTGAGAAATGCCTGGATGCATGCTGGATCGGCTAGAAAGTATGAAATGGGAGCACACTGTAAACCTGCCCCACAATGCACTGTGGCTCATAATAACATTTTACATGTTGCCAAATGAAATTCAAATGATTATGCAGTTGTATCAGTAATGAAAGTTTGCATAGTGTGGTTGAAATATTTTTACGGACCAACGGTCGCTCTAACTTGATGCTTGATAGCTCATCGAACGGAGCTCGGACAGGAAGTACATCATGTGACCCGTATTTTAGTCAAGTCAAGTTAAGTTTATTTATATAGCAAATTTCATTTGACAAGCATTGACTTAATGTACTTAAAATGTGCTTTTAGTATGTTGCTAACTGCATACTAACTGTCAGGGTCATATGCATGTATGACATATATTTTGGAGTATGTAGTTGGTAGAATGTGTTTTCAGATACGGCCTTGTACTTTTCTGGTTTTACTCTTTTACAGACATGCTTCTCATAAACATAGACCTGAATTACACACGTGCAATAACAGGACCTGTGGACATGCATTCATGGAGAACTCATGATTAATAAAGTGTATATTCTATATCTTCTCCTGAGTATGTGTGCTTTTCTTAAGTTTGATGAGTATTTTTCTTTGTTCAATCACGCCTCCTTTCTTTCCAGCATCCTGACTTCGTGCAGGTCCGGGAATGGCTTGACCCAGCTCAACATTACTGGCCCAACAGTTAAATTCAATGGGTTCCCCTACAGGTTTAATGTCACTAAATCAAAATCAATTTTGAAACAGGCAACAATAAATAAAACATGTTTCTTTGTTGTGTTAATAAGTTATGGTGAGTATTATTATTTTTTTTTTAGAAAAGGTTATGATTGCGTAAATTATTGCATTGCTTTACCTAACTCTAACGGCCCCCCATGTGTCTGGGCCCCAGGAAGCCTCCCTTGATAACTCGTTCATAATTGGGAATTCAGCAGCTGCATTAACTATGATTTTTATGTTTTTATGTTTTGAGTTTTGCTCACTCTGAATGAAATAGAACTAGTCCGTCCATTGATATTCCTGTGTTGTGCTGTGTTCTGTTGCATGATTGTCCTGAACCAGTACTTGCTACTATGGGTCTGCTCTGATCCACTGTGATGTATCTCCACAGCTTTTTGCATGTGAAACTTTAAGTTTTGACATGACTTGCTCAGTCTCTGCTTCCTGCTTCCTGACTTTGTATAGCCGCCACAAGCTGTGTGTGGTTTCTTCCTGCAGACAGGCCTGGAGCCTTGTCGGAGTTTTAAAAAATTTTCATATCTAAATATTATTTTTTTAAACTATCATTTGTATTTGTAGTCATGTTAAATAATATTAAAATCTGATAAATTCTCCCACTAAAGCCATGCTAAAAAATGCATTTTCTGTAAATTCAACACAGACAGAAGATAAGTTTCACTGTGAAAAAGTAAAACGACTTCAACAGAGAGAGGACAGCTTCAGGTCACAGGACCAGTAACTGTGCACGCTGAACGGAGCTTTAGAAAACACACGACTCAATTCGGTCAAAGTGAAAGTAGGTTACAGGAAACTTTGTGGAGGCAAAGAGAAACCTCAACAGTCTGAGCTGTTTGAGTTGTTTGACTGTGGTGAGTTTTAAAAATTGCACTGAAAAGCTGTTCCATACATTTGTCAAGGAGATTCACATCCTCTGAAGATAAAACCACTGAAGGTCTCTGTAACAGTGAAGCAGTGAAGGTGGAGATGATTGTGACGTTTATTTTTTAGCTAGCTTGTGTTTATCCTTAATGCAGTGTGTTAGAGAGAGAGCGATTTTGCCTATCTGTGTATTTGCGTCGGGCAATTGAGACAATTTAAATAATTTATACAGACACAGATTTGACTTTAACCTCCAACTTTGGAGTTTTCTACAATCGTGTACACTGAGCTCTCAGGTTGTGCCTTACAATCGGGCCGAACACGAGAACATAAATCATGAGCTTTGAAGGTGTTGGACTGATTGAGCCTGATCAATAGAGTTTTTCGGGTCGATATCGATATTGGGGAGACACAAAAACATCTGTTACCAATGTATCGGCCGATATCGTCTCAGATCTCTATTTGATCTGTAGATATATATACATATAAATATATATTGAAGACAAGACGGTCACTAAACTGGAAAGTAACAGCACATATTCGTGCATCACTGCTTGTCTGGAGAGATGCTTGTTGTAATCCAAACAGCGCCCTCTGCAGGTGAAAGAGAACTGCTAGTGTAATACAATGAAACTCTTATTTGACTGGTAAGTAAATCTAGTAATATCTGCGATAAAGCGAGCCGAGAGTGATCGTCACTGGATATGCTAATATCAGCTGGCGATTAATCGGTCGAGCTCTAGTTTTAACACAGACTCTGTAAATGGAGATGACAGTAGAACTACATTTGTATTTAATCACGTAAACAATGAAAAAGTAAAGTTTTTGATTTTTATTAGAAAAGACGACACATATCATGACCCTCAATTTTCACTCCAGTAATATAATCACACCCCTTAAAAAAAAGAACACCTTCCCCCCTGAATTTCAATTCAATCGGCGGCCTCCTGTCTGGATCAGAGTGAGGCCAGCACGCAGCAACAATCAGTACACACAAAGAGAGCAGTGTATGGCAGCCACAACACGTCCTTCTGGAGGGGAACGACACGGCCAACTCTTCTTCCTGCTGTCTGACACAAGGAAGGACTAAGGCTTCATCCTCTACTGTGCAACCTGAAACGTCCGCATTCATCTCCTTTATTTCTGGTTAACCTGGAGTCAGCTCTGTTGGAGATGGACACTACGAACGAGGAGAACTTAAAAGCTTTAACAGATCAAGACCATCCATTCTCATTTGTCAAATAAAATAAACTCAAGCTCCACCTCATCCTCAAAACATTCTCACCAACTTTTATTTAGTTTTTCTCTTCCCTCCTTTAATCAGTATGAGTTGACTCCTGACGTCCTCTGGGCTTAAACGAGTCGCTTGAAACGTCAGAGGACATCAGAAGAAAGAGGATTTATCCTTCTCTTCAAGTGCTGCAGATGCAAAAAAAATCGTATCTCACCGGCACTTCTGCATCAGTTTATGTCTTTAGAGTGCACTCAGGACTACAAGTTTTTAAATATACTTCAATTTTTCTGTACTTTATCTGGTAGTGATGAGTGCACTATTAGAAGATGGCTATAAGGGATGTTGACAACTCAACAATCAACTATTATGAAGTAAAGCGTGTGAACTTTCACTCCTGTGGTACCAACATGAACAAGCTGAACTGCTCCGGATGATGAAACGAAACAAACAAAAAGAGACCTACATGACGTCTTAGACAAAAAAAAATAATAATAACTTTCACTACGACAGAAAGTAAAGTATCAGATGTGTAAAAATAAACATACATGTTTTTATGAGACGATTAAATTACAAACAGACAGGATATCATAGGACATGGAGGAGCATACACTGACATTTATCTAGAGTATCTTACTGCTCAAAACACAGTAGAATAATTTATTACGGTGAGAATGACCAAGATTCAGTTTGTCACTCCGGACAGACACCCCCTGCCCTGCACCCCCCCTCCCCCTCCCCCTCCCCCTCCCCTCCCCCTCCCTCACAGCCCAGTCCGAACCCCAAGTCCAACAGTCCTCTGTTGTCATGAAAACCCAGTGACACAAAGTGCAAAGGTTTACTGCTGGCCCTCCTTCTTCTCTCCCTCTGATGAGCCCGAGCTGCTGCCGCTGCTGCCGCTGCCGCCGCTGCCGCCGCTGCTGCCTTCCCGCTCTGCTGCCATCTGCAGGAAGAAAGAAACATGTGGGAGGTGAGGGACATGCGTGACTTCAGTGTTCCTCATTTTAATAATGTCCCAAATGTTCTTCAAGCCAGTCCTCTCACAAGAATGTAGTAATACATTACTAACCACTTAAGAGGGAGTCAAAATTAAATAAACCATACATTTGTGTAGAAGACGTACTTTTAATACATTTTTTCTTCATCTAAAAAGTTGGCTGCGGAAGGATCATTACCGGTTTTGAGATCCCCGCACCCGAGGCCGCGTGGCCCCTCGGTGCTGGCGGCGGATATGTCAGAAAAACACATTTGTCTGTTTCGTTTCATCATCCGGAGCAGTTATCCTTGCGACTAACACGGACACTAGTACAAAAAGCTGAGACATGTCGACATGACCAGAAATGTTGCCTCCACCACCGCCTGCTGCGCACGACTGGATGCAATTGAAAATTTGCCCCGTTCACTGTGTGTGGCAAGTGAATGCTTCAATTATCTACACAGAGCAGGCTGGAGGCGTCCTTCCGAGCAGGATCAGTCCCTCCATCAGTCCGTACTGAGCTCAAGAGAAGAGCGTTTAGTTTGGTGGTCCTCTCTACATGGAGCTTTGAGGTTGAAGCCCTAGGTTCGATCTTAATGAAACGCGAGACCAGCTGACAGTGCCTGTGTTCCTGAATCGTTATCTGTGATCACAACTTCTGAACTTCATCTCCAAAGCAATTTGCACATTTAAATATTTGTTCCTCTTAACTTCTAGATTGTGAACTGTTTCTTTATTAGCTCATGTTTACTTATGACGTGCTGCTGCCCTCTTGGCCAGGTCACCCTTGTGAAAGATCTTGATCTCATGGGTTAATTCATGAAGACTTTCCTGAACTTCAGAAATCATCAGGCTGGAAGACCTTACACCTTTATACATGTTTGGAGACCCCCAAAGACGGGTGCGTTTTGTATTCCTGATTTTACGGTAAATAAACAAGAAGCACTGCTGCCAATCCACATAGTCTAATAAAACATTTCTTTAGTTAAGTGCATCACAAACTTTTCTGCACACCTTTGTAAACAAAAAAAAGTGCAGTCATCACATTTCTCTTCTGTGAACTTTCTTTGAAATAATAAGAAAGTCTTTGACTGCAATGAAGTGACAACAGTGCATTTCTGAAAAGTTAAAAGATTTTCAAATTGAGCGCTCGGAGAGGCCGCACACAAAAGGCGGCTCTGAAAAGACGCTGGATGCTGTGCTTCGTCTCCAAGGTGACTGCCTGGAGAAAAAGGCAGCGTCCTTTCTGCTGCAAATTCTCACTCCTCATTGAAACAACTGAAAAAAGCGCCCAGAAAAAAAATGTGCACGTAATTCAATCTTTTTTTGAACAGGTATATCATCCAGTATTACATAAAGAGCAGTATATCTGGAAATCAAAGGTTTTTATTGACCATCATTTTCCCTCTCATTTCTTGTTTCTCCCAGTTCAATATTTGTGTTGATGTTGTGAATTTGTTCAGTTACTCATATCGTTGATTTAAAGGTAAAAAACTCTCATAATGGACAGAATGTTTGTTAACCCGCCACCTCCGTGTCGATCTTTTTATGCGAGATAATTTTTAAGAGTGAGTGAGTTTGTGACAACAGTTTTAAAAATGAAAGTCCTGTCATGTCAAACAACTTCCCTACTTCAGTTATATCGGTGATGGATGTGGCAGAAACTACAAAAGCGTACATTAAGCTAACAAACCACTTATTTCCCGTGCTTACAGATCTACACCTAGCGACCCTCTTGAAAGGTCGTATTCGACTGTGTGTGAATGAAAAGATCCTCTACCTTCTTGTAGGCCATTTCGAAGAGTTTGAGCGACGCCTGCTGCAGCGTGGTGGCCGCCTGTTTGATGTTCTCTCCTGTTTCTGAGTCCTTGTTGGCCAGAAGATCCCGGACCTTTGTGACCTCCTCCTTCAGCTTGGTGCACTGAGAGACGACAGATCACAGAGACGAGAGGTCACCTCACACAGTCTGTACATTTATACAAACAAACAACTGCAACAAACAAGTACGAGTATGAAATGTCAATTCACTTGTAGACTAAGCTAGAGAAGCTTCGGCTGAAAACATGAAAGGAGAAATTACTGTGAAACCTATAGAGGAGTTTTGCATGATTTGCTCTGGAAGCCTTCGGGGGCAGTGTAGCGCCCTCTGCAGACGTATCCTGGGATTACTCCGAAATATGTTTACCTCATGATGCCGTGCCCAAGCGTGACGGTTCCCCCTCCGTGCATGAGCACTCAAACCGTGCCACAGCTTGGGCACAGTGCGGACTGCCTTGTGTGAGTGTGCCATAAGACTCAACTCTTTGAATTGACTTCACACTCTAAGTTGTACCTCATCAGCAGGAAGCTGTTCCTTGAACTCCTCCATCTTGGATTCTGTGTCATGGACGATGCCCTCGGCCATGTTGACGGCCTCCACGCGGTCCTGTGAACAACAACATGTGGAGTTGGAGGCAGACGACAGAACACGCACATTGCACACAGACAAAAAAAAACGACAGGAAATTATTGTTCATGAATCATCTCTGCTGGTTCTTTCTCGTTACCTTCCTTCTCCTGTCCTCCTCTGCGTACTTCTCAGCGTTCTTGATCATGTTCTCGATGTCGTCTTTACTGAGACCTCCTGACGACTGGATCACAACTGAGGAGAGAGAGAAACACAAGAGACGGTGTTACACTGTGAGAAAGAGCTAAAAGAGCGACTAGAAACTGTTGAGCAGGAAGACAGCTTCAAAATGTTTTTCTTTCCGGGACAACTCTCAAATCAGACTGCGTCTTATAAACCTGTGCGACTTGTATTTTAAGTTAAGTAACAAATAGACAAAAGGTTTCTGGGTAAGTAAACCCTTAAAACCTGCCTTTTCAGAATTTGTTAGAACGTAAAGGGTGACATAAAGAGACGGCTTTGTGTATGTTTATATTATATTTATGAAATACATTTATATTAAGTGGAAGAGATACAAAAACAAGTGAAAAATAAATATTTCAAAAAGTAGATTTTCATCCTTTAGAAGACCGATTTAGGATTTAAAAAGAACTCCTAAATGAAGTGATCATGCTCAGTACTCATAAGTGACACGTACTCTGCTGCTCCCGGCCCGTGCCCTTGTCCTTGGCGGAGACGTGCACGATGCCGTTGGCGTCGATGTCGAAGGTGACCTCGATCTGAGGGACGCCGCGTGGGGCGGGGGGGACTCCCACCAAAGTGAACTGACCCAGCACCTTGTTGTCTGCAGCCATCTCTCTCTCCCCCTGACACACCTTGATCTCCACCTGAGTCTGCCCGTCAGCCGCTGTGGAGAACACCTGGAGCAGAGCAGAGGACATTTTCACACGTTGTCGACGCCTCGTTAGCAGAGAAAGAAGGAAAACGTCTTCACGGAAATCTGCGCTCTGTCAGGACGAGTACCTGGCCCTTCTTGGTGGGGATCGTGGTGTTCCTGTTGATCAGTTTGGTGAAGACTCCGCCCAGCGTCTCGATACCCAGAGACAGTGGTGTCACATCCAACAGCAGCACGTCAGTGACATCACCAGCCAAAACGCCGCCCTGGATGGCTGCTCCTATGGCAACAGCCTCATCAGGGTTCACAGACTTACTGGGAGCGCGGCCGAACAGATCCTGGACCGTTTGCTGAACCTGCAGAGACGCACACAGAGGAGGTCATCTGTAGTTAAAATACCGTTTCTTCCACATCATCGTACCTGAAGTCCCACTTTTCCTCCTCCTACATCTCCCTGTAACCATGCTTCTATTGTCACCTCTTTTTTTTTCCATCTTTCAATCAAGTACAATCGTGAAGACAAGCCTTACATCAGCGTTATCGTTACGCTTTATCTAGCAGCATGCGATCTGGACTTTGTCTTTTTAAGAACCACAGAGGCTCATGATGCGTTGTCCCCTTTTTTTTTTTTTTGTACCTTGGGCATGCGGGACATTCCTCCGACCAGCAGCACCTCTCCGATGTCGCCCTTTGACACCTCGGCGTCCTGCATGGCCTTCTGACAGGGAGCCACGGTGCGGCGGATCAGGTCGGCCACGATGCCTTCAAACTGAGAGCGGGTAAGCTTCATGTTGAGATGTTTGGGACCGGAGGCGTCCATGGTCAGGTAGGGAAGGTTGATGTCGGTCTGGAAGAGAGAGCAACCATGATGTGAGCACTTTGTGGTTTATCCTCGCTTCGTGAACGCTGACAGCAAACATTGCTCATCAAGAATTCAATTATTCTTTTGAAGAGCTCAGAGGTTTGTTTGGCCCTGTACTTGGCCTGCCCTGCAGTCAGTATTAGGACAGTCCACGCTCACTGAGCCGAGTCCTGCAGCAGCTCAGCAGCAGCAGACTCTAAGACAGAACCTGCTGCAGCGAGGTACGACACAGGATGTTCTCTACCAGCACTGTAACACCGAGCCAGACACACACACTGTCCGGACAGCTGACTGAGAGCTGGATTAAGAGTTTTACACTGAAGATAATCTTAGAAACACATTGTTGAAGAAAAGGCAATCTGATCTGACATGACGCGTGTTGGGATAAAGGAGTTGTGAGTACCTGCAGTGAAGAGGAGAGCTCACACTTTGCCTTCTCCGCAGCCTCTCGGACTCTCTGCAGAGCCATGTTGTCTTTGGTCAGATCCACACCAGACTAAACAGAGAGAGACAAACAACACTGGTGAAAACCTGGACGTGCAGACAGAACCACACAGGTGGGAGAATCACCTAAAGGCCAACGTCTGTCACCTCTCTCTTGAACTCCTTGACGATGTGTTGGAGGAGGTGCTGATCAAAGTCCTCTCCTCCCAGGAAGGTGTCTCCGTTGGTGGACTTCACCTCAAAAACTCCTTTCTGGATCTCCAGGACTGAGATGTCAAACGTACCGCCACCGAGATCATAGACAGCAATACTAGAGACAGACACAAGATAGGTCAATAACTCAGGAACATCATCAGAAATGTGGCAGTCTGCTGCTGCTGCTGCTGCTGCTCTACTCACATCTTGTCCTGGGTTTTGTCGAGGCCGTAAGCCAGAGCGGCGGCTGTCGGCTCGTTGATCACACGCAGGACGTTCAGACCGGAGATCTGACCGGCATCTTTGGTAGCCTGAGAGTGACAGGAAGAAATCAAACCTGTGAGAATGTTTTAAGGTGCCAACTTGGTCTCTTCATCTTTAGTGCTCTCAAGATTTGAGTCGATTATGATGTCAACAATTCCATTCAAGATCCAAACCTCCTAGGGGGGTCCGGGGGCATGCTCCCCCGGGAAGATTTTTTTTTAAAATATCAGCTTGAAAATGTGAATTTACATAAGATTTTAGCATTCAGAATAAAGAAGCAGTGCAAACAGCAAGAAAAACACAATTGTTTGTCTATATCTATGTTCTGTTGCTCCCAACCTTCAGTCCCTTTTTATAAATGGGATGAATTTGCAGAACAGGGCTTACCATGTTCCACTAAGGGGTGGTGTGAAGGGCAGTCACTATGCAAGCAGCTCTCAGAGCAGAGTCTGAGAGAGCATCATAATACAGTCATCAAGGATGACAATATTTTCTTTTCTATCATAAAATATGTAACATTATCAATATATGAACATGATGTTTTGCTCCTGCTTATTCTCATTAAGTTTATATTCCCTCTCTTATTACATGTGTTGACCAGCTGTCACTTTAATGTTGCCTGAGATAATAATGAACCAGAAAGCTGTATGAAGTTACCTTCAAGCTAGCACACATTCCTCTCAACACCTTTACCTATGGCTACCAAACAGTAAATATGGTCAGACAGCATGTTGAAGACTGTGAGTCTTTCCAGTGTTTTCATGGGAAAATAAGGTTATGTAAATGAGTCACGGTTTCATGCTTCTTGCGGCGATATTGCGCAATCGCAGCCGGCTAGAGGAGGGTCCAAGATTTTGTAACAACGCGGACGGGTTCGCGCCAACCGCGTTGCAATGATTGGCTACAGGGCCCGGAAGTACTTTATTCGGGCCGTGTTGAGCGATCGCGCTCTGACTGCAGTCAGTATGAAACGTCTCAACGTTCGCAGGGGCCGTGCTCGCCGGCCACGAGCAGCATGGATCAGGCTTTCATGACAGCTCGCGTCGCAGATTTACACAAGAGAGGGCTTTAAATAAGAGCAGATGTTACACTTGAGTGTTTTGATGGATGGTTTGATGGAATTTTAACTCATAGTTTAGAAGATTTCACAAAGCCTGGGTCACCTGCAGAATCACGTTTTACAAAACGACAGAGATAACCATTCAAATTGTTGTCCATCATGCTGCAGGTGAAAAACAAGCAACCACAGGAGCAGATCTTTGCCAAAGCTGACCCTGTTACTTACTGAAGCCTTAACTTTAGCTTAGTTAGCATTAGGAGCTAGCAGGTCTCCATTTAAATCCTCCCTAGCACTATAAACATTGACTGGTTCAATGGAGCTAAATGCTGCTGTGCTAATTTCACCGTTTTAAAATGTAATCTGAAATAGATATTGCTCCTTTAATTAGCTTTTAAATAAACTTTGCCAGTTTGTTCTGAACAGATCGTTCATATGGAAGTTTTAATTAATTCACTGTGTACTTAGTGCTTCACGTTGGGGGATTAAAATCCAACACTGCTGCGTCTGTTTCATAAACAAACATTTGAAGCATGTCAAGAAATCCATGTAAGTACAGAGTGTGAGAGGTGAAGGACTGAGTTTAATTTGATCCCTCAGAGCTGTTCTTTGTCCAATTTCTGATCCGATTGATAATCCCTATGACCTAAACATCAGCACTCATCAGACTGATTCTGCTGATCATGAAAACTCATCAGCCAATAGAAGTGGTAAGGTAGGTGAGCGTGTGTGTGTGTGTGTGTACCTGTCTCTGAGAGTCGTTGAAGTAGGCCGGGACAGTGACCACAGCGTTCTTCACATTGGTTCCCAGGTAGCTCTCTGCAGCAAAAACACAAAACCATTATCAAAACGTATTCTTAAAAAATGTACACGAGGCTCGAAATTAATCGAGAGCAGCTGCTGTCATACCTGCAGTCTCCTTCATCTTCATCAGGACGAAGGCTCCGGCCTGGCTCGGGGAGTACATTTTCCCATGAGCCTCCACCCAGGCATCACCGTTAGATGCACGAACAATCTTGAAGGGGACGTTCTTCCTGTTAATGAACACAAATTTTACCTCAAGATTTACACAAACTCACTAGAAGTAATTCTTTTTTTCTGCTGTTTTTACCGACATTGAAAGAATGTTTTGCAGAAAGGTTGCACTCACATGTCTTTCTGGACCTCTGGATCGTCAAAGCGACGTCCGATCAGCCTCTTGGTGGCGTACAGTGTGTTCTGAGGGTTGGTGACGGACTGGCGTTTAGCGGGCATGCCCACCAGACGCTCCCCCTCTGCTGTGAAGGCGACGACTGAAGGAGTCGTCCTGGCTCCCTCTGCGTTCTCCAACACCTGAGAGACAAACGGATAACACATTATTTGGATTGGATTGGAGTAAACACGGTTCATTTGTCCTGATGAACTCTTTATCTCTTTTGAACTGCTGCTCATTATCTTGAGTCCCAGTCTCACAGCTTTCAGGAAATATCTTCTTTCCAAACAGATCCTATTTCCATGAATTTTAACCGAAAACGACCAACAGGAGATAAAAAACATCCTTATCTTTTAACTCCTCCGTTTGACACAAAACACAATTTTCCAGAGCAAACACAGCAAGTGCTGCAATTCAGTCACACTGAAGTGTAGATAAAAGGAGAAGGCAAACAATCTGAACTGAAGGACACTAAAACAAAACAGAGGCAGCGTCAATGTTGGTGCCACAAATTGAACGCAGACACCTCATCAGCTTCAGTTGAAAATTATTCAAACTGAGTGAAGACTTGTGGTTATCTAAAACTGAAAACACCACCACACACGAGCTTCACAGAGGGATTTGGTTTGGGTGAGGGGTGGGACAGAGGGTGCAGCAGGAGAAGGAGTTATGGTTTAATCTGCGTCTTCAATGTTCCAGATTACTTCCTCTACTGCTTTCACATCCGACTCCCCTCCTCCCCCCAACAACACACCGACTCTTTACCACGGGGCCTGGCAGAAAAAAGTCTGATTCAATTTGGGTGAAAGAATTCAGACTGTGTCCTCCTTCTGGACAGTGTAAGGACATTTTTTTAGGAGTTTGGTGCGGCATGTGTGAAAAGGACTTTGATTCTTTCACATTCTGTCTCACTACAGTCACAAAGACGCTCAGAGTAAATGTACGCCCAGGTTTATGCACGACACTGTCGGTTGTCCCGGCAAACATCAGCTTTAAAAGTCGTCTGCCTTTGACCCCAGATACACAAACTGGTCATCAAAGAGCTTGAGGCAATAGAGGCCGTTTGTTGCGTTGCCTCATATTGCCTGTGTTGACTGCAGCTGGAGGCTATTTGTCCTGAGAATGTGAATTTTTGAAACATTGAAAACACAAAGCAATGCGTGCATACATTGCTTGCAACTCTCTCAGCCACCACAGTTTTGTGATATAGCCTCTTTTCTTTGAGTTAAGCTTATGCAAAAAGAAAAGACTTTGTTTGCATGTTTTCCTTTCCTTCAATTGTGTGAGCCTGCAGGGATTCCCTCAGCTGAACAGCCAATCAGAGGGATTTATCTCACTAACAGCTCCACTGCTGGTTCAACATGCTCATTTAACCTTAAAGGCCAATGGAGGACCGTCAGCTTGTTGTCTCAGGGTTCTTTTAGTGTTTACTTTCATTTGAGAGACTCAAAAAAAAAAAAACATTGGAGTAAAAGTGCTGTACAGACAAACTAAACGGTTTAAATGATACTCTTTTTCAGCTACATGAGGCATGTTGACAAGTGTCTGTATTGCTAAACAAATAGCAACAATATGTTGTTGCACATGCATAAAATAAATGGTTTTATTAGTTTACTGGTGACTGCAATCTGAACCAGTACCCAAAAAGATCCACAATCAAGCAAAACTTACACAGAGAGGTCACAAACCTACTAATAAAACTAACTAATTGTTGTTTGCTTACATTAAAGGCCAGAGGGGGAAACTTTCAAATATATTAAATGTTGTCTTAAGGTGTTTTCACACACAGATCGTTTGCTCTGGTATGGATCACGGACCCATTTCTTCCTTTGTTACATAATGACCTCAAGATTGGTCTGTGTTCACACAGACACAAAATGTGTGATGAGCGATGAAAATGCTCTCCGATTGGTCCGAATTTCTTGCAAGAAAGATCCCAGGACTAAACAAGGACTAGTCGATTCCTGCCGAGCTGTGGCTGCTCCAAAGTCTCTTTACATTTTCTACATGGACAAACAACTACAAGGATTGATGTCGGCTCTGCTCATCAGTTTTTACATTTATCACTGTAGGCAAACAAGACAGTTTGAAATGGGGCATGAAATAAAATGTTGATGTTCTGGAGTTGCTGAAGGTGTTTGTCAGGAGAGGGTGAGTGTTAATCCGAGTGAGAAGATTTCAATGTTCTTGTGTGTGGTCAAAAGTTGTGAGCTAAAAAAAAAGTCATTACAATCCTACCCATAAGGCACTGCATGACTGGCTACAGTAGCTGGTTTAATCCAAAAAGCACAATGCTGTCTGCAGTTGGGTCAGATAGAGGTTGGATCATGTCCACAATAAAAATGAACCTAGCAGGTAAGGTATTTACATTAGTCCCTCTTATTTAATGCAGGACTTTCTATAAGCACTGCTGTCAGCCACAGAGTAAACTAGTTACTTAATTACAGCTTGCTTCTTTTTCTCTTGTTGAGTGGCCACTACATGGTTTCTCCGCTACATCTGAAGGCCTAGGATTCTGCTCCACACTGAGGTCAATGTAAACAAAGTCCTCATATGTATAGTTCAATCCCATTTACACAGAAAGGATTAGAGAATCAGGCAAGAGAGATGTCGTTTCAATACAGGGTTAATGGATCAACCCTTCTGACAGCCTCACCTAGGAGACAGCTGACCGTGTTTCATTCAGTTCAATCAAACCACGAAATGTGTGAATGTCGGTTTAGACAGTAAGTCAGAGGTTAAATACAGCCTCCAAAGTTTGACACCAGACAGATGCGGGAGGGAGTTTATGGTTCGACGAGCATCTGCCAGAGAAAACTGTCCCTTTCACTGTGGATATTCATGGTTTTTAAAAACTGAAGAGCCACATTAATCAGAGTTATAAAAGCTGAACATTGACTGAAATATCTTTTAAGTGTCTTTTCATCCTCACCTTGGCCTGTTTGCCCTCCATGACTGCCACACAAGAGTTGGTGGTTCCCAGGTCGATGCCAATGACTGAACCCCTGACAGCTTCTGACCTGCAACACACAAACACACACTCATTGTTATTGTTGTAGTAGCAGCAGCAGCTGTGATCAGATCTATTATACAGAACAAATATGAAAAAGGACACTGCATGGATAGGTTTAAAAAACAAAAGTATCAAAGTAAATTAAGTATTTTGTCCAGCAGAGTAGCACAATATTAAAAACTATATGGCTCAGTGGTATAGTCACTCTCAACCGGAAGGTCAGGGGTGTGAGCCCCACTTCCTGCAGTCAGATGTCCAATGTGTCCTTGGGCGAGAAAGTTAACCTCACCTTGCTCCCGTTGCTGTGGTGGCAGCATGTGAATATGTATTTGGATTAGATAATACTGATTGACACTTCACAGCCTTACAAGCTGCCTGTGATGTTTCCTATCAATCTGAATGTCGTAATGAGGGGGCGAAGTGATCCCCCCCCCTTCTGAGGTAATAACAGAGACGTTACAGAGGTGAGAAGGTATCAGCTGAGCCAGCAGGGGAGCGCAGTGCTGCGCGTGTGTGTGTGTGTGTGTGTGTGTGTGTGTGTGTGTGTGTGTGTGTGTGTGTGTGTGTGTGTGTCTGACTGTGTCTATGTGGAGCTCCTGCTGTGCCGTGCTTTCACAACACGGAAACGCAATGTGAATTCACAGACTGGGACACCAATATTACGCCATCGCTGAATCAATATGAATGTACAAAGATGTGACGTCACTTTTGCCAAAAAGCAGTCTGCAAAGGGCATGTGTGTGAATGTGAAAGTGTGACCTGAGGGGTAAAAGCCCTTTGAGTTGTCAGAAGACTAGAAAAGCCCTACACATGCTCAAGTCTATGTACCAATTACCCATACCTATTGTTGACACCACTTTAAACATACTCTTTGGACCAATACTCACGCATAGTCCCTCCTGGACAGAGCTCTGAGCGCGTCTGGTTGGAAGCCGCTCCAGCATGCCTGTGTGTGGACACATCAGAAAAGAGCTTTTTAAAACATATATAACTTAATAAAATCAATGATGTTTTTTTTTTATTTGTTGTTATTTAAGAATCCCCTCAAATGCTCCATATTACAATCCAGTAATTAAGACCTCAATCAAGCAGAATAAGCAAAGAGAACAAGTTATACTATAACAAATCAAAACCTGCTGGGGACCTTTAAATCTAAAAAGTAGTGCTACAAGTCTGACATCTTATACATGACAGAATTGAATCGTAAATTAAGGTGAACAAGCATCAAACATGAGTCGTTGAGCTGATCAGCAGGGTAATGAATGAGTTCATAAACTGTGACATGTGAGGGGTGTTGCAGCATGTTGGGAGGAGGACCGGCTCACTGAAGGTCACTGAGTCTGTCATCCGGTTCAGTCTTCACACCGGTAAAACTCACATGCAATAACATGTTCATTTAAACACACAAAACACGCACAACGACGTCATTTAAACACAAAGAAGTGCGTTTTAACCAGATATTTGACAGCTTAAACGTCAGGTGTAGGCTGTTAGCATAGCACGCAGCATCTGGTATCATTTTAAATGATAAAGCAGCATTTTTAAAGGGACAATTAAAGATTTAACGACACCTACAATGTGTGCTAATTATGTCAGTAATCAAGACGATACGAATTTTAACAGTTAAATGCGAAATTATATCTTGATTGTCACGATTAAGAGTAAGATGGCCTTTCGCTAGAGCGGTTAGCATTTTAGCTAGCCGGTGTTACGTCGAGATGTGCTACCTTGGCTACTTGACATATCTCATAACTAATGGTGAGCATGAGCGTGTGTATAGAGTTAATAAAGTGTGTTTAAAGCTCACCTTCTTGATCAGAGAGGACACATTTCGTGTACAGCTGCTCGTCGGGAGAGTCCTTGAAACGTTTCTGGCGACGCTCAACATTTTTGACACCTCGGATAACACGGTAACAAAACTCAATAAAACGCACGCAGCGGTTTAATGTCAAATAACAGCTTCTCGTTCGCTAACAGCAAAGAACAATAAGCTTGAAGTGTGTCAAATCTCCGGGTGTCTTTACGCGTCCACACGGTGTGTCCTGGGTGAATCTACTGCTCTGTTCCTGCAGGATTGACTTTAGAGAAGAAACTGCGAAGCTCTTTCTGGAATTATCCAACACATGTTGCACCATGCACCGCGGGAGGACCCCAAATCGGGCTGCCCACAGACTGCCTGAATAAATGTAAACAGTTAAGTAAATATTTTAGACTCCATTTATTAATTATCGCGAACATACTATACGAGAGATTAGGGTCAATACGATATTTGGTAGTTTAGATACAAGAATGTATCAAACATCTGCATGTTGTTGCTTATTTGTGGTCAGGAAAAGACTGGGTCTGATAAACGCAGTGGGCATGTGAAGGTCATGATGTAACAACGGGTACGCGAGGGCGTCACGTGTGTTACATCAGGGATGCTGAATGAATTTAGACGATTTCTATCTGCTTTCATGAGACTAATTGATCTATTCTAGAAATTAAATTGCAATTATAAGTAAATACAGGATGCTCTCACAGATTTATAGTCACTTGTAGTTTAATGAAAGGTGCAAATATGAAGCTTTCATCAGAACTTATTTCATCCACATTCATGAAATGATTGCTAAACACAGAACTGAAGACAACAGAGTGTTGACCAGTCATTAAAGTGTATTTTACTTACTTTTCTCTTGTTGTTTTCTCAAATGCATTTAGTAGGCTAATGCTTCATTAAACTGTTTTACAGAAACATTTACAGGTTATTATATCTGCTAATTTCTTTCACAGAACAAAATATACCAATCCTTCATGGCAGATTTTTTTCTTGTTTACTTTGTGTTTACAATTTATCGATATTTGTAATTGACTTGCAGGCTGCATTGAGTAAGGAAGGGGGGCCGCATGTGCAGGGGTGAGTCCAGACTTTTTGTACTGACAGGACCCTTTTTCAGGGGTGACATGAAGTTGGTGTGCACACAAAGAAGATCATTTATTTACCCCTTCTGTCTGCACTAATCACATCTTTTTTTGAAGCAACACAAGGTAAAGGCAACATATACATCATCTAAGCTTATAGTTCTTCTAGAACTCAAACAAATGTGTTTGTCCAAAGTCACAATTAACAGTATTTTAAAAGTTTCAAACAATCATCTGAACACTGAGAACTATGAGCTGCCTAAATAGTGGAAGTCCCACCTCTGGCAAGGCAGATAGTCAATCACTGGGGTGGCCAATAAGATTTTAAGGGGGGCCCATGCAAACCCTGGCCACCCATCTGGACCTGCCCCTGCACGTTTTTGGCTAGTTGCCCACCCCTGAGAGACTTGACAGGTATTGGCTGCTATTTCTTAAGCCTTTAAAACACTTTCTGGTAATCCTCACTTCTCTATAAAACTGTGCTTTAAGTAATAAACAGACTCATTCAAGTGATTGGGTAATGCTCAAAGTTTATCGAGTAAACAGTAAAATTGAGAAATGGTCCTTTACCGTTTGTGCTGCACACACCTGAGACACCTGCAACACACACAGCACAGTTTGTAACCATGGATCGATTTCAAACTACTCTGCTCATGAATGTGACTATTTCAAATGAACTGATGTAATTTCCCTTCTCTGCTATTTATTTCTTTGTTTCCTATAATTTAATTGTTTGTCTGTTTCCTTTCTTTTTTTTGTCTTCTAGTTAATTCATTTAATTGTGCTCTCAACATCATTGCGGTGGAGATGGTGGACACTTTCAAATACTTGGGGGGGTGTAGATTGAAGGAGTTGACATGAGCCAGCCACACCTCTGTGGTTGAAAAAAAAAAGCCCAGCAGAAACTGTTTGGCCTCAGGCGCCTGAAGAAGTTTGGTCTGAGGCCCCAAATCCTCAGGGCACTGGGTGAGAGCTGCCAGCCTGCAGGAGCTTTACGAGCAGCGATGCCTCAGGACGTCCCTGAGGGTCATGAAGGACTCCACACACCCTCACAAATGTCATTCTCCACTGCTGCCCTCAGGTTAGAGTTGCAGGACTCCAGAAGCTCACACCAGCAGACTGAGGAACAGCTTCGTTGAACAGACCATAAGACTCTTAAATAATAATGAAAGCATTATTGAATAATGAATGCATTTTATTATATAATAAAATATAACCCCTGTGCAAAACTGGCCAATCAGGAATGTATATTCCATTATATTCCATTATTCACCATGCACCTTAATAACTTATCATTCAGTATTTGCCTACTTGCACATAGCTCTGTATATATATATTTATTTCTTGTTTACTGCATATAGTTCTGTTTACATCTGTTTACATCTGTTAGTCCGCTCACTGTCCACTTATATCTACTCTTTTATATTTAGTATTTAAAGTTAAGTCTAAGCTTTAAGTTGTATTTAAATTGACACTCTATATTTAGGTTAAAATGTTTCGTTTACTTGCACTGTTGTTAATTTACTGCTCTGTGTGCCTTTGAATTGCCCCCCGGGGACAAATAAAGTTTTTTGAATTGAAATGAATTGAATTGAATTGAATATTTATGCTCCACCTTACTGAGCCTTTAAAGTAAATGTTTTTCCTTTTTTTTGTTCCCTCTGAGATTAAATAAAGGTTGAATGAATGATTAAATAACCTAATAAAATAGACAAAGTATTAGAATTATTTTCAGAGGCAGTCATTGGTAATAGTTCAGAAGCCCAATCTGTTAATCCATGAAAATAAATAACTATATTCTTCATTGATTCATCTGTAGCAGTTTTTTTTCTCAAATACTAACTCCACAGAAATTGTGATGTGCCGATCATAATTGATCACGTTGAATTTAAAAGAAGAAAAAAAGGAAAAAAGCAATTCAACACTGTTAGGAAAACTGTTCAGTTTGTTGAAATAATGACTCAAACATTTGTCTGACATTAAGAATAACTGCAGATTCATTTTCTGTCTATCACTTAATAAATTAAATGAGCAGTGAATAAGCCTAACAGCCTTTATAATCATCTTTAGGACATCAGCATCAACACAGCCGCCTGTAACAATAAAAAGACTAACTTCAATGATGTAATATGACTTTTGTCCACTGTTTGGCAGCAGTGAGTGGTTAAAGCAGTCGATGTGTAACGTCTGCTTCAGGCATTACACAGCTAAATTAACCTCTCTCTAATGACTTTACGTCTCTGGGATGGGTATGAGACAATAAATGTTCTTCTTGAAATTGATAGATTTGAATCTCTGTATGATTTATTAGTCGACTGGGTAACACTTTATATCAAGGTGCTTGTATCATTCATAATAGATAATAAATCACTTATAAGACCTTATTAGATTCTTACTAAAACTCTGAAATAAGTCTCAATATACTTTACATTTATAAATGTATACTTCACCCTGCTCCTTCTCTCTCTCTCTCTCTCTCTCTCTCTCTGTCCCTCTTCACCCTGCTCCTCCTCTCTCTCTCTCTCTCTCTGTCCCTCCTCACCCTGCTCCTTCTCTCTCTCTCTCTCTCTCTCTCTCTCTGTCCCTCTTCACCCTGCTCCTCCTCTCTCTCTCTCTCTCTCTGTCCCTCCTCACCCTGCTCCTTCTCTCTCTCTCTCTCTCTCTCTCTCTGTCCCTCTTCACCCTGCTCCTCCTCTCTCTCTCTCTCTCTGTCCCTCCTCACCCTGCTCCTTCTCTCTCTCTCTCTCTCTCTCTCTCTGTCCCTCTTCACCCTGCTCCTCCTCTCTCTCTCTCTCTCTCTGTCCCTCCTCGTCCTCTCTCTCTCTCTGTCCCTCTTCACCCTGCTCCTCCTCTCTCTCTCTGACCCTCCTCGTCCTCTCTCTCTCTCTGTCCCTCCTCGTCGTCTCTCTCTCTCTGTCCCTCTTCACCCTGCTCCTCCTCTCTCTCTCGCTCTGTCCCTCCTCACCCTGCTCCTCCTCTCTCTCTCTCTCTTCACCCTGCTCCTCCTCTCTCTCTCTCTTCACCCTGCTCCTCCTCTCTCTCTCTCGTCACCCTGCTCCTCCTCTCTCTCTCTCTCTGTCCCTCCTCACCCTGCTCCTCCTCTCTCTCTCTCTCTGTCCCTCCTCACCCTGCTCCTCCTCTCTCTCTCTCTTCACCCTGCTCCTCCTCTCTCTCTCTCCTCACCCTGCTCCTCCTCTCTCTCTCTCTTCACCCTGCTCCTCCTCTCTCTCTCTCTGTCCCTCTTCACCCTGCTCCTCCTCTCTCTCTCTCTGTCCTTCCTCACCCTGCTCCTCCCCTCTCTCTCTCTCTCTCTCTGTCCCTCCTCACCCTGCTCCTCCTCTCTCTGTAAAAAAAAAAACAGATGTTAATGCAGATTCAAATGCAGCAGCGATTTGTGATAGATAATAAAAAAGTCTTTAAAGTTGGAACAAATTTTCTAGAAAAATCACACAAAACAAGTCAAAAGGCTGAGTAACCCCGCCTCTTCCTTAAACTGTAAAACACCTCAGTAATAGAGCTTTCACACCTGCAGAAAACTCCTGAAAGACTCCTGATATTTCCAGGAGCGGCTGCATGTGTGAACGCAAACAGACACATTTTTTGTTCGGACTTCACCCAGAGTTTCTCCTGCCAGACCTCTAGTATTTTACCCGCTGAAAGTCAGAGTGAGCTGATGTGAGAACGCAACAGGATATAATCAGGAGAATTCACCTGGAGCGAGTGTGAGGGGGTGATGACGTTTCTATACTGTTACTGCTGCACAGTGCGCCGCTAAGATTTCCGTACACGTAAATATACTGCAGCATGACGTCGTCTGCTCTCCAGTATGTTCTTCTCCACTCTTTAGTTCAGTCTGTGATTCTGTTGAAATACACGCAGCATTGATATAAAGACTCATATTCTCATTACTCTGTTACTTCTTCCGCTACAGCATCAAGTTTGGATTCATACTCCGCTGAAAGTAGTTCCCAACAACAAACAATTTCCTCCAGTTTGAGTAACAGTGTTTAAAATACTTCAGCCCAGACGTGTTACTAAAACATCTGATTTTTAAATTTAACTATTAGTGAAGTTTTTAAGGGTCAGTTTAAACCAATGAGCTGAGAGACGGACAGTAAATGAGGTTTTTAGAAACACGTTTTGTTTTCTGAAGGAAGACCGGTGGTTCACTTTATCTTCTTCACTTGAACACGGCGTCATTCCTAACATCTGCGTGCATAAAGGTTAAA